AAAGCGAGAGACTAGTTCAAGATGCTAAATAAATGTTAAATGTTTAATGAATAAATATTAAATATGTAAATATTTAAATACATATTAAATAAATACAATATTATTTTAACAAGAAAAATCAAAGCTTTTAAAATATTTGCCTTTCAATGTGGTAAAGCAAAATTTCAGCTTCTTTTGCCTTGCCTGGATCATATTCACATAGTTCTTCAACAATGCCTTGGTCACCTGTAAACATAAAAAAAGACCCACTGATGGTATTTAAGGTGATAAATCAATAAAAAATAATAAACATATAGATGATTAATACCAACAATTTAATGCTATGGTTTCTAACACCACCAACCTCCTCTAAACTGAGTGGCCACCCTTACCCTTTCTTCTTTAATTTCAAGTATTATCTCATTGGCTCACCAAGTCTACTCTACCAATTATCTGTCAGCTGTTGAAGGAAGAAGCCCATAGGGTAACAGAGACCTAAGTGAAATAAGTACATTTTTGCTTTCTTTAAATTCGGCCTAGGAAAATCCCTGCTCTTTAGCTTCCTGAGGAAAAAAAGTAATGTTTTCCATTATTTGTGTTAATTAAATATATAGATAAACTACCGTGTAAATCTTTAGTTTTCTGAATTTGCTTCACAAAGTCTTGAAATGAGATGCTCATGTCAGATTTTACCCATGATGTAAGTGCAAATAAAATAATCTGCAGTCTTTGATGACTATAAAGATAAAAGACATCAATAATATATTGAACCTAAAATCAAATAGTGAAATATTAGAATAAACACAAATAAAAGCTTCAAACTTTAAAAATATATAATCAACGTGCATACTGAAACTGTAATTCTTTGTTCAGATTTTCAGCTACATCCCGCCGTTTTAATACCACAATCATTTCCTCATCTAAATCCACCATCCTCTGAGCTGGTACATATTTTTTTGACATAACTTGTTTAATTTCTGCGTATTTATCTTCAAGATGTTTCAGGTATTTAGTGAGAGCATCTAAACTGACAGAATCTTGGAGAGTCATGCCTATGGGAAAAAGGAACAAATCAAAAAAGCCAAGCCATATGTGCTCTTGTGCTCAAACAGCAATAGGTCAGAGAGTTCTATTACGAAATAATTACGAAATGGTAGCATGAATTTGTAGTTTACTGAACATAAACAGAATTAGCATACAATTTTAAATGGCTAGCAGTTTTAAACATGTTATTAATGAAGACTCGTCCAAACCTTAGCATCCTAAGGAAGAAAATTGGAAGGGCCTGATCACCACGCCTTGCAATCCCTTAACTATCGCTGCTACTCAATAACACCAAGAGCTTCTGTCTAACAATTCAGGATTTCTGCCCAGTAATTTCTCCCTAATCAAATCTTCCATTAATCTACTAGAGCTAATCCCAGGGTAATCTGTTCTCTGCAATGCAAAGCTTATAGATGCCAGCCATATCTTCAGTCATCCCTCCCTCTCCAATTGTCCCTTCTATTGACCAGTCATAACACACACACACACACACACACACACACACACGCGCGCGCGCGCGCGCGCGCGACTTCCCTTCTCATTCAGGCTAATTGTCGCCTTTAAAGGCATACCTCAAAATTCTCTTCCAGAAACCCCCCTGGATTAATCCTACTCAATTTTAATCATTCCCTTACCCTGAATTCTCTCATCATTTAATCAATTTTCAGTTATTCTGTATTTATTCATATGTATCTTATTTATAGTTTGCTAGTCATAATTTTATATTTGAAAGGGAATCTAGTCCCTGCCTCCACCTGCTTCAACCTCAGTTGAAATCCTCTGGTATGGAGTAGCTCATTATTTCAAGATATAGGGTTCTTCCATTGAAACGAAATCTGACTTCCAAAATTTCCACCTATTGATTCTGCCTCTGGATAAACACTAGTTGAAATCCATAAAAGTTTTGAATAGTTATCTGTTCTCAAGGACTTTCTTTTCTTCAGGATGAATATTTATAATTCTTCTATTTATTCATCATACAAACCTCTTGACATCCTGGTTGAATTTCAAGATATGCTCCGATATCTTAAAATGTGGCTTAGCTGAAGATGATGAACCAATGAATGCTGACATTAATATGAATCGACAATATTCACCAGAATAATATACCACAGGTTTTTTGTTTTGTTTTGTTTTGCATGTTATACCATGGGTTCTCAAACTTTAGAGTACATCAGAATAACCTGGAGAACTTGTTAAAACACTGACTGCTGGGTTCTCCCCTAACCCCCACCCCACTCCCATCTCAGCAGTTTCTGACAGTAAGTCTGCAGTGGGGCCAGAGAATTTGCATTTCCTACAGGTTTCTAGTTAATGCTGATGTTGACACAGGAACCATGCTTTAAGAACCACCTTCTTATACTTTATATAATCCAGTCAGACTGGAACTCTTAACCTTTTAAGGTTTTCTCATTCCCTTTTTCTACCTAGAACCCTGGCTAAAGTTGTTTGTAAAGTCTGGCTAACGTCCTGCTCCACTTGGAAGATAGACACGTAGCACATATTTATTAGTTTGTGTAACAGGTAATAACTGGAAAAACAATTTCTTTAAAATATTTCGAACAAAATACAGTACCTGGAATAGGTTTTGAAGGATCTTTGGAGAAAGTACAATATTTTATTTCTTTTGTTTCATACTCTGCTCTAAGTTGTTTCGTTTTGTCTATTTGCATTCGAATCTTTGAAGAATTATTTTCAATAACCTTTAGTCTGAAAAAACAGAAAGCTTTCTTATGTTTCTTTCAACTAACTTATTTAATCATAAAATTCAAAGTAAAACATGTTAAATGATTACTTTATTTTGGCTAATTATCATTTTGAACCATTATGGTCTTAGGTAGAAGTTTGCAAAACAGTGCTCCCCAAGAGTTTACTAACCTCACAAGTGAGGAACAATTTTCTTTCAAAGCATCGATGAAATCTTATACAATGATTCGTTGACCTTACTGGAAATTTATTAAGTGTTAAACATAATAATGTGGCCACAAAGTACTGTGTCTATTCTCTTTAATTGAGAATTAACTTTTGCAATTTAAAAATTATTTTTCTAATAATTCTACCAGTTTTCTGTGGCTACATGTTACCACAAACTTGGTGGCTTAAAACAATAGAAATATATTCTCTCATAGTTCTGGAAGTCAGAAGTGCAAAATCAGCATCCCTGGGCCAAAATCAGTGCTGTCAGGACCACGCTTCCTCTAGAAGCCCTGCTTCTTCTGGCTTCTGGGGGCTGCTGGCCTTCTGCGGCTGCAGCGCTTCAGTCTCTGCCTCCATGGTCGCATTGCCTTCTCCCCTTCTGCTTGTGTCAACGTTTCCTCTGCCTATTTCTTACAAGGACACTTGTGACTGAGGTCAGTAAACCTGTGACAGCCCACCTGTTTAACCCAGGATAATCTCCCTATCTAAAGATCTTTAATGGACTTACATCTGCAAAGACCCTTTTTCCAAATAAGGTAACATTTCTGGGTTCCCAAGATTACGACCTGCTATCTTTGGGGGCCATTATTCAGCCTGCTATAGTAATTTTGATCCTAGAGCTAGAGGAATGATAGCACTTCTTTGAGATAAAACATTGTATCTAGAAATAGGTAGGGATCTTTAGACCAAGAAGTATATATAAACTTCTTTTAAGCATTATTTGAAGTTTACCTCCTAGCTTATTACTGAAATGTTGGCCCAGGGAGAAAATAACAGATTAAAATTAGATATATAAATGTCACAGGGTTTTTGGCAAATTAAAAACAAGTTTGTCAGTAGATAACTGCTGTCTGCATCCGATTATTACATAGAGTTCTTGGTAACTACACATGGCTCAGAACAAGAGCTTTCAGTGTTTATGAAAGGACTATAGAAATATCTTTTGGTTTTCATCCAAATAAACTTACGCTTGTGGAAGAAAGCCATGTTAAAAGTAAACAGACTTTCTAAAGAACTGAAAAAGCAGGTACTCAAACAGATACTTGTACATGAATGTTTATAGTGGCATTATTCACAACAGCCAAAGGTGAAAACAACCCAGGTATTCAACAGATAAGTAAACAAAACATAGTATATAAATATGATGAAATATTATTCAGCCAAAAAAAGAAATGAAGTCCCAATATATGCTGTAACACAGTTGAGAAGGTATCTAATTGTTGCCCCTTTCTGTAGCTACTTTCATGGTCTCTTTGACAATTCACTACAATAAACCTAGCTGAGTATTATCTAAAATGCTTAGGATTCTTTGGGCCTCTTAAATCTGTGAATTGCTATCTTTCATTAGTTCTAAAAAATTCTTAGCCCTTATCCCTTTGAATTGTCCCAGTCCCAATTTTTTTAGAGTTCTGGTTAAACATAATCTTTTTCATTCTATCCCTCATGTCTTTTTTTTTAAAATAGCTTTATTAAGGTATAGTCCATATACCTTAAAATTCACCCTTTGTGTAATTCAGTGAATTTTAATATAGTCAGAGTTATGCAACCACTACTATTTCTAGTTCCAGAACATTTCATTACCCCCTGAATAAGCCCCATACCCACTAGCAGTCTACTGAGCAGAAGGTAATTTTCCATGCAGTCCCCAAGGGTGGGACAGTTTACCCTTGGTTCACTCTTCAAGGGTGTAGCCATTTATTGTCCCAGCTTTATGTGGAGAGGATTTCCTAGTAGACTACACCTCTTGGGCAGATCCTGGACTCTTGTCTTTTGTCCCCCCCTAGCTACCATAAAAACTGAAGCTTATGGTCATTAGTTTTAATAAATGCTCTCAAGGCCAAAGAAGATTTAGTGCTCCTCTTATCTTTTGTCTTATTACAATTTTGCTCTGATAATCTTACTATCTTGTCAGCTTCCTGTTGCTTTAGGATTTTTTAAAAAACATTTTAAGTAGCATTTTTCCCCTGTATGAAGATCCAATATCTAGCCAGCCATATTACCAGAAATGGAGATCAAACTTTGCATAATTTTCCAAGTTGC